TGAGTGAGTGAGTCGGAGAGAGAGGGAGCGCAGGTACAGACCACTCCATCATAGGTGAGGGGCGTGTTTTTGTCCCGGTAAGGTAGAACAGATGATGTAAGCCATTCTCATAAGGTCCACAGTCAAAGCAGAAACATGCATATTCATCGAGAAATACCTTTTGAAAACAGGTTCAGGTGACTCTTGATGGCTGCTTTGAACGTCAGCATGCGACAAGATCTGGGGAGATTGGTCTTTCAGGGATTCAGACACGGCTTTGTTCAGCATCACACAATGTTTAGAGCTGTTATAAAAAATGAAGCAGAATACAGAATGACTCACTAGAATGAATGAAAGTACAGTGTGAAATGCACAATATGCATTACAGGTAGCAAAGGGAAAATTCATTTAGTCATCATTTTCTCAACCTCGGTGTTGTTCTGAATTTGTATGACTTCATTTTGTCTGTGGAAAACAAAAGGCAGAATGTGACAGACTGACAATTTTACTGATTTTAAGTGATTGAATATTAATTTAAGTTTTGCATACATTGGATTTGTTGGAACAACTGTACAGTAATGCACACGCACTGATGTCATTTGTAATGATTTATTGCTATTATGTCTTAAGATAGAAAGTATTAAGGTATCGGTGCTGTAGGAACGCTAATATACTCGGGTCAGTCGCCTCGGCTCATAGAGCAACATGACTTGGCATGTAAGTTAGCCCATCAGATAGCTTTTTAAAGAGGTGCATTACTGTAATGACTTTCATAAGGTTAGCAGAGGCAATTGTGATGACCTCACAACAATGCAGCCATTGTCTTTCTAATAACTGTTTGATGGTGCTGTACGCAGTGTAGTAATATAGGTCAACATTAAACACATTGTGAAGCATAGTAACCTGCCCAAGAAATGACTACATGCGCATATACTGTAAGGGATGTTCTTTGTTGTCATGTGCTTGTATCCTTCTGTGTGCACTTAATTTCCATATGCATTCGAAACTGGACCAGGTTGCAGATCAGATACACTAACGTTTCCGTTTTTGTTACCCTAGCTAGCAGTATGTTTTTCTATCTTGTTCATTATGGGTTTGTCAGGCATTCCTAAACATGTTAGGTGTTATTTTATTAAAACTGTTGTAACGTGAGCCTATGCATCAGGCCCACTCCATCTTGGCAGACAGGAGTCATTCAGAAGCAATGCTTCTAATAAAACCTGCAGTCGTCCCATGAATCACACTGGTACACAGGCATGTCCTGAAATTGTTAACTCTTTACAAACTAAGAACTCTGTTGAATCTAAAATCATATGCAGTTATTAATAATGTTAATAAATCACTTTTCAGCATCAGCAACTTTTCCCCACTAATTACTGTGGAATGAATGTGCAGCAAGTGGATATTCAACTTCTGTTCATGGATATCTGTTCCTGCGGAGTTGATTTCGTTCATCTCTAATCAAACTCACCTGAACCAGCTAATTATGGTCTTCAGGTTCACATGGAAATTACAGGCAGGTGTGTATGAGCAGGGTTAGAACTGAAGGTAGATCTCCATGAGCTGTATTGAGCCCACCTGCTCTATTTGTAATGATAGCTCACTAAGCGTCTCATTTACTGTGTTACGTCTTATTCCAAACACATTGAAAACTTTTTTTTTTTCATGGAACACTTTTTAAATGGTTTTCATACAATGCAACAAAGACACCATAGACAAACTGTATGACTTTTGTGCCATTTTCAAACCACATGATAGCTTTGTGTAAGGAACTGAAATTGGTAAGGAGTGAAATTTTGGTCTCAGTCCATTCCGCATCTTCAAACATTGTCTTGTTGTGTCATTTATGTGACGCATTGATTCACCATTTTTGGATCTGAGCACAATTGAGAATGAGATTTCAGACCTTCTGCAGAGGGTATCCGCATACAATTTTCAGCCTGTTTCTCCTGAGAGTGAGTTAATATTACTAGAAATAAAATTTTTGGGTGAATCCTTCCAAATCTGAATTACTTTCTTTTTTCTGTGGCGCATAAAAATATATTTTAAGAAATTTCTTTTTTTGACCATACAATAGAAGTCACTGTTAACTGAAACGGTTTGATTACCAACGTTCTTCAAACGATCTACTTGTGTGTTCCACAGAAAGAAAACCCATACAGGTTTATAACAACATGAGGGTGATGACAGAAGTTTTATTTTTGAATGAGATGAGATATGATTTAGCAATTGGTTTGTAATCTTTAGTTTCTAGTGCATACTACTGTATGTAGTAATGGAAAGCATTCTGGCATTTTTCTTTTATGGTTTTTAAAATAAAAAGTGAATCATGACCCCAACATTCCATTTAGTTTGCACTCGCTTTTCATTTTTAGTTTCAGTTCATGTTTTGGTTGCGTAGTGTATGTTTTGTTTTTTTATTTGTTTTGACCTTATATTTCTTAATCAGACTGTCATGACTCATTTTTTCAGTGAAAATTACTGACTTCTCTGGTGACGTATTTTGGACTTCTCCAGTCATTTAGTCAACTTAAACTCTGCCTCTTGCTTACAATTAGTTGCAAGTTCGTATTCAGATCTGCCTCCATCCAATCAACAACCGATGACAAAACCAGGTCCCCACCCTACATTTTTTCTTTTTCAATAATCCATTTTACTCAAATGTGTCACAATATGGAATAAAATACCTTTTGCTACTTACAGTTCATTGCAACTTTAAGACCAATTAGACAATTCATTGTTCAGACAACCCACTGACTAGTCGATTATGAAAATATGTAGATTTTCTTTTTTTCTAATGGAAGCAAGTAGTGTGTTTGTGGGTGTCGTCGTGTCTGAAGTTGAGGAACTGAATTGACAAAGATTGGAGTTTTCTTTTTGTTGTTGTTGGTGGGTGGATGGGTGAAGGGTGAGCTAGAGGGGGGAGTGCTTTAGGCCAGAGGGAGAGAAAGGCATTATTACTCATACCTGACTGCTCTCATAGAAGAGGCTGCTCGCACCCTCTCTTCTCCGATCTCTTTCTTTTTCTTGCTTCCAATGAATATGAGGGGGGAAAAGTTCAAAGGCTGGCTTAGACGAGGATCTTTGAACCCCCCTCGCCTCTTTTAGGGGCTCCCACATCCCTTCTCATTGAAACGATTTTGAACATGCCATGTTTCCCTTCACATGAACAGTCTTCCATTCATTCACATTGTGTTTTGTCAGCATTAGCTGTTATTTTGTGCTGTTTAAAGAAATAGTTCAACCAAAATGAAAATTCTTTCTTGTTCTTTCACATCATTCTGAATTTTTTTTTCTGAACTTTCTTCATTTTTTTCTGTAGAACACAAAAGGAGAATTTGAGGAATGAACTGGCATTTTTTTCTATACAACAATAGTGACTAGAGCTTTCAAGCCTCAAAAAAGGTGCAAAAGCATCATAGAATACCTTAAAAATGTAAGCAGTGATGTTTGAATTGTGAATAGTATTCTTTATCTAGTCAGTTCTTTTCAATGATTCAGTTGATCTGGTTCACTGAACTCAACTGAATGATTTGTTCATGAATTCACATTTGACTCAGTTGTATTTCAGTCAGAAATTAATAATTTGTCTTTTTAAAATGTCATGTAAATGATGCAGTTTAGATTTTTGAAGTCTGACTAATAACCCAGTAGTACTTAACACTTGGAGACTATTAGCTCCATTATAACAGCACTTATACATAACACGTTGAGTCATATACTACTTTTGACACTTTTAAAGTGTTTTTGTGAAGTTGAAAGCTCAAGTTCCCATTCTTTGCAACTGTCTGGACAAAAACCAACCCTAACTTTCTTCATAATTTCACCTTTTGAGTTCTGCAGTAGAAAGAAAGGTTTGCAGCGACATGATGGCAAGTAAATAGTGACACAATTGAAATTTCTGCTGAACTATGTCTTTAAAATTGTTCCTCGCTCCTGCATTGCACATCTCTTTCTTTCCAGAAATGGTTTCGTCGAGTGGCCCCTTGTTCTGGCCCTCACTCTGCTTTTCATTCTTTTGTCGTTCCTCACTCCCTCAGTCTTCTCATTTTTCCCTTCTCCCTCTTTCCATCCCCCAGTTCGTTTTCCCCCTTCCCTCATTCTAATAAGTTCCAGATGTGTTTCTTACATTCCTGTAGTCAGAGGAGAGGGGGAGGGGTCATGGAATGGGAGAGGGAGGGAAAAAAAGAGAGAGGGAGAGATGGAGAAGCACATGAATTAAAAGAGAGCGCATG